AAGAGAAAAATTCAACTAAGGGTCTGTGCATAAAAATAATAAAACAACTCTTTGTCACTCTGCCATCCAAAGAGAGAAAGAAAGAAAGAAAAAGAAAAGAAAAGAAAATATTTCATTATTGCTTTGCAAAGACAATGAATTCTTCATGCACAGGTTTCCCCATGTCTCATTTATTTATGTTAATTCCTCAATTAATATGTCTCAATTTATTTAATTCCTTAATTAATTATGGCCCTGGCCACTCTATGAGCTTTTCTGCAATTTATTTTAGGTTTCATATAGTACAACCATTTTTTAGTCCTACCATTGCCCCCAGGTGTTTGGGAAGACATTGGGGACTCTGGAGTTTCACTCAGCATAATCTTCTCCAGATTCATCCATGTTATGTGGTTGTCGAGAGCCAGCCCCGACACTCTTATCTGAGAGTTCTAGAGGGAGGTATGTAGGAGCTCTGGTAGCGTAGTGGTTACGAATCGGGCTGCGAAACTTAAGGTCAGTGGTTCGAAACTACCAGCCGCTCCATGGGAGAAAGATGAGGCTTTCTACTCTGGTAAAGATTTACACCCTCGGAAACCCTGTACACGGTCACTATGGGTCGGAACCGACTTGACGGCACTTAACAACAACAGAAGGAGGTATGACGTCGGCGAAGAAATGAAGCTCACAGAATCAATGGGTCTTGTTAGATGGTGAATCTTCTCTCACATTTTATTTCTCCTCTTTTTCCCTTCATATTTTATTTCTCCTCTTACTTTTATTTCAGATTCTCAAACAGCTTGTATACTACTCTATACCATCAATTTATTAATCATTCTTTTCAAAGTAGTGGTCTAAATCATACATATTAATCATTTCTATATAGAACATCAAGAGCATCAAAATCTTCCTTGTTCCCCTTTACGTAGTTAGACAATATTTGATTTCTGTAAGCAAACCTCATTGCTCTAAAAATGTCACATTAACCTTAAAACATACTTCTAAATCTTAACTCCTATTTCTACCTTCACCTATTATTTTCTATAGATTCATTAATCACAACATGTACCTAGACATTATTTGCTATGGTAACTGACAACACAGTTGTTTCTCATGTTTGATTAAACAAGAAAAACAAGAAGCATAAAGTTTTGTAGTTAAGAAGAAATGGAGCAACTTCCTCATAACTTCTCTACACAAAACATCTAGTTAGATTTCTGCTTATGATCTAATACTATTCCCTTAGCCCTCAATTGCATTTTTGCTAATTTTCTAAAGGTCTTAATGTCCCTGACAGAAACTACACAGAATGTTGAATGTAATCTTAAACTTGGACTGGCAAAAACTTTAGCTGGTTTTTCCTAGTGGTGAAACTTATTGTTAGTGTGAAAAGCATTCTTTAGGACTATGCATGATTGAATATGGTGTGAATGTGCCTAAAAACAAGTTTCAAATCTCTAATATAATTCTTACTAAGATTCTACTGAAAACTTTTACCATAAAATCAAGAAAATTAAAAACAAGCTGACTAAAACAAAGAGACAGAAACTGCAGAGCCCTCCCACATGAGATTCCTCCTCGGGGCCTTGCCTTCCAAGGGGAGACCCACTGTGGCCCTGCTTAACAATGAGCCCTTTGTGTTTAGGGTCCTCCGCATGGCCTCTGCCATGTGGTGTTTTGCAGATTTTTGTTCTTTATCACTGCATAGTATTCCATTGTGTATATGTTCTTCCATTGATGGGCTTTTAGTCTGTTTCCATCTTTTTGCTATTGTGAATAGTGCTGTGATGAACGTGGGTGTGTATATATCTACTCATGCCGTGGCTCTTATTTCTTGGGAATATTTACCATCTAGAGGGATTGCTGGGTCATGTGGTATCTTTATTTCCAACTGACATTTCAGTTAGCAGCCAAGCACTTAACCATTACACCACTGGTGTTAAGTGCCATGAAGTCAATAGCGACCCTGTATAGGGTTTCTGAGGAGCAGCTGGTGAGCTTGAACTGCCGACATTGCAGTTCAAACGGCTTTGCAGTCTGGCGCATTAACCCACAGCGCCATACTAGGAAGGACTCCATTATACCATTAGGGTTCCTTATATCTTTCAAGCCTATTATTTTGTCACTGACATATCATAAATGGTAACTTTTCAAGTCTGTTGGATTTTTTAAAATTGTTCTTATTATGGAAAATCACCTTAGCCAACTTGATCCCTCTTCCCTTTCAGAAATGAACAAGTATTGATTGGGACACTGGCCATTATCAGACATTAACTGGCCACAAATGAAAATGTTTGTTGGCTTTATCCATATTCTGGATGGTGTTCCTCCCATTTTTATTGGAGAACGTTTCAGTCTAGGGACCTTTAATGGATCATTTCGATTCCTTCTGCCTGTCTCTTCCCAAACTCCAAGATCTCACTTCCTTTGGCTAATAATTATTTTACAATGGTTCTTCCAGGTCATTTCTTATCATTTATCCTACCTGTGCCTATATCACTGATCTAATTAATTTTCTTTAGCTTTTTGCCCATTTCTTATAGAATAAGTTCATATATACCAGCTTAAGATTCAAAGACCTCTATAATGTCTCATAAGGAGCTCTGGTAGTGTAGTGGTTACGAATCGGGCTGCGAACCTTAAGGTCAGCAGTTTTAAACTACCAGCTGTTCCATGGGAGAAAGATGAGGCTTTCTGCTCCCGTAAAGATTTACAGCCTCAGAAACCCTGTACAGGGTCACTATGAGTCAGAACCGACTCCAGGCAAATAACAACAACAACAAATATTTTATATTTATATATTTAATTTCTATATAATTCTTGTTGTTAATATATATAACTACAATATATACTTTGTTTTATATAATCTATGTGTTTACATTATACATGTAACTGTATATAAGTATTTTAAAGATTCTTAGGCAGCAGTGACTTGGAGTCTCATGGGTTAGCATTCAGAGAGTAGCTGAGGCTGGACATCTGCTATGGCCTCTTGCCTCATGTGCTTGGAACTCAGCTTGATAGCTGGAATTTCTGGGGGGGCGGCATGTATTTCTCTATTCCAAACATTCTCTTTGTGTGTCTAGTTTGGCTTGCTCACAGTGTGGTGGTCTTAGAGTGATTGGATTTCTGATAGGGTAGTTGCTGACTTCCATCGCAGTAAGCTTTCCAAAAGACCCAGGAAAAAGCTACATAGCTACTTATGACTTCATTTTGGAAGTCATTAAGTGTCGCTTCAACTGCATGCTGTTGTTCAAAAGCAAGTGAAAAAGTCAACTCAAATCCAAGGAGCAGAGACTAAAAAAACAAACCCAAACCCACTGCCATTGAGGTGGTTCTGACACGCAGCAACCCTTTAGGACAGAGTCGAACTGCTCCTTAGGATTTTTTGTTTGTTTGCTTTGTTAACTTTTTATTGTGAATTGAGTGATAGTTTCATGGGAGAACATCGGTTTTACACTCTCATCGTTTCATTGCAATGATTACAATCTGTCCGTGCATCGTCATCCAACAGTATTTGCTTCTATTCTCTCTGGTTATATGGGGGGATGTACACACAAACATCCTTAGGGTTTTTGAAACTGAATCTTTACAGAGGCAGACTGCCACATATTTCTCCCTCAGAATGGCTGGTGGGTTTGAACCATCAACCTTGCAGTTAATAGTCCAGTGCTTAAACCACAGTACCACCAGGACCTACACAAGGGTATAAATACTAGGAGGTATAGCTTTGACTCAGTACTGTATGTGTGGTTGTTGTTATTGTTGTTAGGTGTCTTCAAGTCAGTTTCGACTCATAGCTACCCTGGATAGGATTTTGGAACAGTGGATGGTGGGCTTGAACTAGCGATTTCATGGTTAGGAGCCTGGTTCTTATCCAATTTCACCACACCAGGCCTAGTTTGTTTTAACTGCATTTCTTTCAAAGTACTTTTTTCAAATGTATATTAATTATTTATATACCATACAGTTGGTTCTGAAATGGCTCTGAATGTTTTCTTGTTTATTGCAGGAGAGTCCTGAAGAAGGAAGGGCCAGTATTTACAAATCGGTGGTCATCAATACTTCTAAGGAAATGATGTGCTTTAGTGACTATCCCATCCCAGATCATTATCCCAACTTCATGCACAATTCCCAGGTTCTGGAGTACTTCAGGATGTATGCCAAAGAATTTGACCTCGTAAAGTATATTCGCTTTAAGGTAGGGAGTTTCATGTATATCTTTGTGTTTGAAGTTGTTTGTCAAATAAGTGAGTAGTGTGATTTCATTACAAATGTGTGCATTCAAAAACTGACTTGATGTGCTATGTATCTAGCCTACCCAAACAAAAACTCTTCTCTTTGTCCCTCTGTATCTGAAAATATTGTCCATGAAAACATATTTCTTCAATCCATTTTGGCTGTAGATTCAGCAAGCCACCTGCTAGAATGCTTTTATTTCGTGTAATTTGATTACAATAAAACAGGAGATGAGGGGAAGGTTTGGTGGGAAGGGTAAAACTTCCAGGCCCCATTATTTGTCTGCTACTGCGTTGCCCTTTTATACCTTCCAAAGTGCTTTCTAAGATATTGTTTTATATGGTCACTCCAGCGACCCAGTCAAGTACTTACTGGAAGTTATTGAGGCAACAGATAAATTAGCTCTGGTGTAGTGAGAAAAACCATTGAATTGGAGAACAAAAACCTTGGTCTACCCTGAATTAACTTGTATGTGACCTCAGATAAATAAAGTTACTGAACTTCAGTTTGTCTTACTTTCCTTGTTTGTAAAACAAGATGGTTATAATAGCTCATTCAGTGGTTCCTTCCTGCCCTAAAGTCTTCTGTGGTTTTTCAATAATTCTTAATCTTGGTCATTAAAAGATAGCTATGTATAACAATTGATAAAATGTCCCAATCTCCTGCCTTACGGTCATTCTGCTATATATTGCAGCAGCAATGGGCTCAAGCGTAGCAATGATTGTGAGGTTGACACAGGACTGGGCAGTGTTTTGTTCTGTTAAACATACAGTCACTGTGAGTTGGTACCAGCTCGATGGCACCTTACAACAACAAACTGCTAGAGACTAGATTTCTGGCTGTTAAAGGTTGCCACTTGTAATACATCTGCACTAAATAACAACAACAGACCCCTGTATGTTTAAGACTAGCCAGTGAGAACAGCACTTGGGATAAGAAGGCATCCGAGGATCTCAGGATGTCTGGGGAAGTGGGGAATTTAGTGCATGGGGTGTCATAAAAGCACTCAGTACCCTAGAGCCATGGTCCAAGAAACCTAGTAATTAGTGGTCCTCTGGAAGCAGAGGGTCCTGGGAGGCACAAATGGTTTATGCTGGACTACTAACCTAAAAAGGAGCTCTGATAGCTAATTGGATTACGTGTGAGCTGGGCTGATAACCTCAAGGTTATCAGTTCAAATCTACCAGCTGCTCTATAGGAGAAAGATGAGGCTTTCTGCTCCTGTAAAGATTACAGCCTCAGAAACCATATGCAGGGTCTCTGTGAGTCAGAACTGACTCCATGGCACATAACTGCCACTGCTAACCTAAAGGAATTCCGTTGTGGTACTGTAGAATAAGCACTGGACTGCTAACTGCAAGGCTGGCATTTCAAACCCACCAGCCATTTCTTGAAAACACTATACAGGATTAGTAGGAGCCAGGAATGACTTGGCAGTACTTAACAGTGACATTTACTGGTTGGCAGGTCAGTTCTAACCAGCAGCACCTCATAAGAAGGGCTTAATGATCTGCTGCTGTAAAGAAAACCCCCTATGGAGCAGTTTCTCTCTGTAACCCAGAGTGTCACCGTGAGTTGGATTTGAACTGATAAAAATGGGTTTTAGAAGCAAAGGAGGTACACATATCCAATTCTTCATCTCTATTTGTCAGAAGCAAAAGAAAAAGAAGGAAACCAAAGTCTCTGAGAAGAAACTAGTCTACAGGGCTAGAAGCCTTGCCAACCATAACCCTGACATCAGAAGAAGTAGGTTTTGCCAGGCCGCCGCTACCAACCCTTCTGATCAGAGCTACAGTGGTTAGAGCCTGGCAGAATGGGGGAGTGGGGGGAGACCAAAAACGTGGAACCAAACTAAAAATTTTTCAAAAGTGCAGATTTCCTGGGCCAGTTGAGATTCCAGGGCTCCCTGAGACTGCCAACACAAGGTACTTTTAAACCTTGAACCGAAGCTGTATCCTGAGGTATAGTACCAGATTGGTGCACAAAAATGAAGATTATTATCTGGGAGTAAATGCACCATTGAAAACTATTTGTATGAAACAAAAAGGTCAGCAATTCCTCAAGATCAAAAATAAGAAGGCTGGAAAACTGGAAGCAGGACAACGAGGATGTAATAAAAGAAAATATTGACACATTGTGAAAAAAAATGTGACTAATGTCACAGAACAGTTTGTATGGGAATTGTCAAATGGGAACCTACTTTGCTGTGTAACTTTTACCTAAAACACAATTAAAATATGTTTAAAGGAAGCAGCAGATTTTAAAATAGGAGTAGAGCATTAGCCAAACAACTCTATTGTACTTAACCTGCCTAATGGAACTTCTGTCAGACAAAAATAATATATATACCTATTACTTGTGGAGTATGAAGATTAAATTTCCCTGCATGACCTTTTTATATAAGGGTACCTGTGGCCTCAACCCTTTGTGTAACACTCTGTAAGCAGACAGTCATGTCAGGAAAGGTGTCCACTGTCTGGGTTGCACTTACAGTCCTCTGGGGCCAATCATTTTCTTGACAGACTTCTGTGTGCAGTGTGAAGAAGCGGCCTGACTTCCCTACTTCCGGCCAATGGGATGTGGTCACTGAGTCTGCTGGGAAGAAGGAGGTAAATGTCTTTGATGGAATCATGGTTTGCACCGGCCATCACACCAATGCTCATCTGCCCCTGGAAAACTTCCCTGGTGAGTAAACTACCATGACTGTAGCCTGTGACCTGTGGCCTACCCCTGTGGAGAGGGAGGATTGCAGTCTGAGTGAGCCCAACCTCAGAAATCCAGGAGACTCGGGCTTCCCTTCTTCCAGAGGCCAGCAAGCTGAGATGGGGATAGAATGACCTTTGTAGTCGATGTGCAATTTGAGGGAGTCCATACATTGCTCTCTGGTTGTCTTCTAGGTGGAACAGTATGAAAATGAATATTGGATTATTTTCTAAAAAATGAAGTAATGCTTCATTCTAGATGTGTCCCTGACATTTGGGCATTAGGAGCAGGGTAACAGATAATGGTACTTTTTGGGAATTAAAGGAAAATTGGGTTTTTTTTGGATCAAAAGAGAAAGCACAGAGTTGTTACAGATCAATATTATGTTGAATGAATAATTTTTCAACAACCAAGGAAACAAATAGACATGTTGGATTTCTAAGTGGGATATGAAAACTTGATAGAAGAAAGAATTTAAGTACAGTCTGTCCTGGTTTATCATTTTGCTAAAAAAAAAAAATATATATATATATATATATATATATGTTGTTGTTGTTAAGTGCCGTCGAGTCGGTTCCAACCCATAGCGACCCTGTACAGGGTTTCCAAGGGTGTAAATCCTTACGGGAGTAGAAAGCCTCATCTTTCTCCCACGGAGCGGCTGGTAGTTTCGAACCGCTGACCTTAAGGTTCGCAGCCCGATTCGTAACCACTACGCTACCAGAGCTCCTTGTCTAATTGAAATGTTATTGTTACTTGACCTATGCATATGAATGCAGTGACACAAAAGAGGCAACAAATCCTTACAGCAAGAAACATTCCCACTCCCTCCACACACAGAGTAGACAGAGAGGGACAACTTGGACATTGGATACCCAAATGGGGAGGGAGGGACTACAAAGGCAAGAAGTAACTGGCTTATAAGCTTTCAAGAGGGAACCTAGAGCTAAGGGGCATGGAGGAAGGCAGAATCACCAGTGAGTACTATCCAATTTGTCTAGGTGGAGCTGATGAAATGAAATACAGATGGGTAACATGCAACACTGTATGTTAAGGCCAGGTGAATAATGGTTATCAAGACGGATTGTGAGTGTTGGAAATGCAAGGGTAGATATTTTGTAGCAAGGAAGAGAGCGATTGTTTCTCCAGTCTAGGAGCGGAGGTCTCTGGGACCACCAACGGATAAGAGCCGAGAATGGGACCCCACCCAGAGAACCGGGGATGCCTGAGATGCAGACAGAGATGATGACAAGGAGGGATGAAGCGGCTGGGGACTTTGGATCCAGAGAGGGAAAGGAACTGTGGGCTGAAGACTGAGGGGGGCGGGGGGAGGGTATAACACGGGATTCTAGGATATGCCCTTTGGTCGGAAGATGTGGCATGGAGGGGATTGGAACCATGGCAATGTAATGATATACGATGGAATGAATATGGAACTGAGGTTCTCTCATGTAAACTATCATGTAATTCACAATAAAACATTAAAAAAATTTTTTTTAAAAAGAAATGTTAGTGTTGTTGTTAAGTGCCATTGAGTCGGTTCCAACTCATAGTGACCCTGCATAGGGTTTTTGAAGAATGACTGGTGGGTTTGATCCTCTGACCTTGCTGTTAGCAATCCAGGGCTTGTCCTACAGAGAGTATATGTTTAAGGGAGTAGAAGAATGGAAGGTTGTGTGATAGTTTGGATTTGTAAGTCTGTAAGTCCACAGTAGAAGCAGGTCCCAAATGAGTTAACCAGACTCTTTCTGGTGAGGAAGCTTAGGCTTTGGGAAAAGAAAATAGGCAGAAATATCAGACAGCAGCTGAGTGAAGGGAGAACACAGCAGAAAATCGGGGCTTAAACTCGTGTATCCAACTGATTTGACAAATAACATCCATCATATAAACCATCACTTAACAATTATTTGCCCTTCCTTTGCAGGCATTGAGAAGTTCAAAGGACAGTACTTCCACAGTCGAGACTATAAAAACCCATTGGCCTTCACTGGAAAGAGAGTCATTGTAATTGGTATTGGAAACTCTGGAGGGGATCTGGCTGTGGAAATCAGTCACACAGCCAAGCAGGTTTGAATCAGTGAACTATTTACTGTTCCACAACCATGGGAGCTGTAGGTGGCACCAACAGAGGGCATGGTAGCCCATCAGTACCAGTGGCAAGTGTAGGAATTGGTTTTGTGACCTCAGTTAACAATATGACTGATGTTAATGGAGCCAAGGTTCCCAGTTCCCAGTTTAGTGGTTGAGTTGGACTCACCCTAAAGAATTAGCTCATGACCACTGTGCTCCTAATCCCAACCAGTCATCTTCTCAGAGTATGTCTTGGGCTTGGAGGAAGGCCAGGTAATTTCTGGGAGAGCGCCTTGGAAGGTAGCACTCAGGGTATAGGATCGTTGTTAGCCAGCAGAAGTGCCATATCATGATCGTTGAAAGCTTATCACTCATAGGGCAGAGGCCATATTTTCCTCTTCACTCCTTAAATGAACAATTTAGTGTAATCTTTCCAGACTATGTGGGTATCAATCTGAAAAGCAGCCACAGAGTAGCACACACACTCAGCTTTCCTCAGCCTTCCCACACATTAGTATCCCATATAATTAGAACAATGCTCACTCTCATGCAATTTCTATCTGCTTGGTGGGATTTTTTTTTTTTTTTTTCCCATCACATGAGGGGCTTCAAAAAGTCCGTGAAAAAATGAAATAAAAAAACACTAGAAATTTTCCTTGAACTTTTTGAAGCTCCCTTGTATATTTTTGAACTGTGAAAAAAGTATTTTCAGTATAAATTCCTGGAAACAGACATGTCAAGTCTTGATAATTGTGTCATTATTAAAGCATAACTTTACTGACAATAAGTTAAGTGCTGGGTTGGCTCTAAGTAACATTAATTAAGCTATGTTTTTTCAAAAAATATGCTTTAATGCTCCAACTTTGCTAAATGGCCTATACCCAGCAACCTTTCCCCGTCATGCTTCTTAGTGTTATCCCCATCTATCACCACATAAGTGATGTCATGTGCTATTCATGAACTAGTTCAACAGCTGTTATCAGGAAAGAGACACATAAATAAAGAGGAAAAACATGTGTGGGCATGATGATAGAAGTAAGGGGACCCATGGCATGAGCCTTCTTTGCTACCATTGGCTGGTCAAATGGTCAGTTAAAAGAGGACTGACTCTTACCACACTGAGGAACTGCAGATTGCTGAAGAGCCATGTTTGGGTAAATGCATAGCAAAACTGTCTGTAGGGAAGTCAACATAATGTCCCACCGCTAATGCAAACCAAAGAAACTCATTTGCTGGACTCTTAACATTTTGCTTTACATATTAAATTGTATTTCTGAGAAGTTGTTTGTAAATCAAAAAAAGTTCAAGTGGACTTTTAAATTTCAGTGTGTCAAGCAAGCTTGTGGTATAATGCTTCTGTGAAAACATCCTCTTCTTGTAAAAAAAAAAAGTCTTCCCCACATTTTTCTCTTATAATTTCAGGTTTATAAATACTCTGCTTGGTTTTTTTTTTTTTTTTAAGAGGTATAGTTGGAAGACTGGAGTAAGGATCTGATAACCATTAAGTATTTATCAAGTGTTTACTATGTTGCCACACTTTCCCCAAACATACTATTTAATTCTCACAATTTCCTTGTGATGTATGTAATGTCACTGATAAGCAGAAAAACTTTAAAATAAGGTTCTGAGCCCTTCTATTACTCATCAGAAATTATATCGCCAGTATGCAGTCATTTGATTCCTAAAATGAACTGTGACATGTACCAGTGCTTAGTTGTGATGTTGTTGTTGTTGTTAAGTGGCATCGAGTCAGTTCTGACTCATAGTGACCCTGAAAAGGATTTCCGAGGAGCAGCTGGTAGGTTTGAACTTCTAACTTTGTGGTTTATAGTCCAGTGCTGATCCACCTTGACACATCATTACTTATGATGTTGTTGTTTTTATTGTTAAGTGCCATCGAGTTGGTTCCAACCCATAGTGACCCTATATAGGGTTTCCGAGGAGTGGCTGGTGAGTTTGAACCACTGACCTTGCAGTTCAAATGGCTTTGCAGTCTGGTGCATTAGCCCACAGCACCACACCAGGAGAGAATCTGAGTGTGAAGTAAGGGATTATCCCTTTGCAGACAGGCTTTCTTTCTATATCAGAGCTTCCTTACAGTTCTGGAAACGATCTCCAGAGAGCTTTGTAATATAAAAAAAGTGATCCTTTGCCAGGGATTGACCTCAGGTAATATCCAACTCTTTTTTTAATCATACAGTAGCGTAGTGGTTACGAATCGGGCTGCGAACCTCAAGGTCCGCAGTTCGAAACTACCAGCTGTTCCGTGGGAGAAAGATGAGGCGATCTGCTCCCGTAAAGATTTACAGCCTCGGAAACCCTGTTCAGGGTCGCTATGGGTCGAAACCGACTCGACGGCACTTAACAACAACAACAACAACAACAACAGACACTTTTGGGGCAGGGAGTTCTTTTCTTGATCACGTTAATGATTTGGATATCCAAAACAGCCAATCAGTTGTTTGTTTCAGAAACTCTGAGATATACTTTGTTTTATTTATTCAATTTTTTTTTATGTTATTCCTATTTCTAACTTAAGAAAAAAAAGTGAAAGTTTACAGACAAGAGCATCAGTTTTGCATCCAACAAATCAAACACTATGTTTCATCTTAATTATTGCAATCCCCTCCTGTAAAAACAGCTATCCCACTGTGGTTCCTATTTCCATTCCACCCACTTTCTCAACTTTTTCCTTAGGTAAATGCTGCCCTTTTGATTTTGAAACATTGACCGTTCCATGGTGAGCATACCTTACTAGCGTTGTTACGTGTCCTATATACCTATCTACTGCTCCGCTGAAAACTGGGCCACAAGGCTGAGTTCCTTTCCAGATGTGAAGGGTGGCCGAGGGAGGATCATAGCTTTAATTGCCTCCAGTCTCTTTCTGACCAGTACACCTGGTTTTTTGTTGTGTTGTTTACAATTTTGAAAACCTTAACGGTTTAGCCAGGGAAGGACAGAGAAAGCTTGACCAGCTTCCTGTTGTTCTTCTAGCAATCTGCATTTCTTACACTTAAGTCATCAGTGAATCATTCCTGAAGCAAAGGTTTTAGAGTCAGTCAGACCTGGACTAGAACTTCAGTTCTGAAACTTACTTATCTGTATGATCTCAGGCAAGTTATTCATTCTCTCCATACCTCTCATCTATAAAATAGATTTTCACATGCATGTGAGGCAATTGAAAATACCATGGCTTGCCACAAGTATGTGCCGTAGTCCTCAAAGTGACATTTTTGCTTGTTAACACTTTAAAGACACCTTGAAGCAGGTTTGCCCAGTGCAGTACATCATTTGATTTCATGACTGCTGCTTCCATGGATATTGATTGTAGATGCAAGTAAAATGAAATCCTTGACAACTCTAATCTTTTCTCCATTTATCATGATGTAGTTTATTGATCCAGTTGTGAGGATTTTTGTTTTCTTTATGTTGAACCATAATCCATACTGAAGGCTATAATCTTTGATCCATTAAGTCCTCTTCACCTTGAGCAAGCCAGATTGTATCATTTGCAGATAACAGATTAATGACATCCTCCAATCCTGATGCCATGTTCTTCTTCATGTAGTCTAATTTCTTGGATTATTTGCTCAGCATACAGATTGAATATGTATGGTGGAAGGATACAACCCTGACACACATTTTTTTAATTTTAGACTAGTCAGTACCCCCTTGTTCTGTTTGTACCTCTTGGTCTATGTACAGGTTCCACATGAGCACAAAAAGTGTTCTGGAATTCCTATTCTTCTCAGTGTTATCCATAATTTAAGATCCACATAATCCAATATCTTACTATCAATACAAATAATGAAAGTTTGTTATAGTAATACAAAGTCAAAGATAATACATAATTATTCAGTCTAAGGAGTTTGGATGAAATGATCTCCAGTTGTGTTCACCTTTACCACTCCACGGCTTTACTGGAGTTTTACAGGTGTAAGTACTAGAGAAGGTCGGTGTATGGAGAGAAAGTTGCTAACTGATGTCTTCATGGAGGAGGCTGACCTGATCTGGATCTTGAAATTAATAGAGTATGAAGAATGAAGAGGAAAGGGGACTTGCCAGCCAGATTGGTATGATAGTGTTAAATAGAAATGCAATGGTGGAACACAGCAAAATATATGTGGGACAGTGAACATACCAATTTAATTGTAGGAATAGTGCTTGGGAAGAAAAACAATAAGAAAAAAAATTAAGTCCGTTTTTCAGGGATTTAAAAGCCAGTCTTATGAGTTTAAAATGAATCTTGAAGAAATTGGAATGCTTTTGAAGGTTTATGAGCCAGAGAGTGGCAAAAACAAACATATTTTTTCCCATGTTCCAGGTTTTCCTCAGCACCAGGAGAGGGGCTTGGATCCTGAATCGTGTAGGAGACCATGGATATCCTGCTGATACAGTGTTATCTTCTCGACTTTACTATTTACTGAAGACTATGCTTAGTCCATCATTAATTAACTCTTATTTGGAAAAAAAGATGAACCAAAGATTTGACCATGAAATGTTTGGTCTGAAGCCTAAACACAGGTATATCCCTAGGGTCAGAGTGGGGAGGTAATAGCCAAGTGGTAGAAATAAGGACTGTTCCTTTCGGCTAACAGTAGAGCTATCGCTGGGTGCCCTCATTAAGAAAATCTACAGAATCTGAAATGAGAAATACCTCCCTTTCCCCCCATAGAAGTTCAGCACCTACAGGCCTGTAGGTCTGTGGTCTGTGATTCTTCTTGGCATTTACCATTTTCTCATTTCTCCAGAAAATGTTCCAGCAACAAAAACAACATCACAATGGTGGTAGAGGGTATTACATCATTTATTCATTCGTTCATTCTACGAACATTGAGTTCCTATTAGGAACCTGACATTTTATTGGGCATGAGACTGTGGAGATAAAAATATAATACTGATACCAATAATAATAACGTAGCCCTTTTAAGGACTTACTATATGACAAGCACAGTGCTAAATGCGTCACATGCGTTCTCTCATTTAAGTTTCGCAGAGCTGTGTAGGTTTTACAAATAAAGACATTGAAACATACAGAAGTTAATAATTTGCCTAAGGTCACACAACCATAAGCTCCAGAAATAGATGTTACCTTAAATACTTGAATTAGAATAAAGACAATAAAATATAAAATAAATGTATGGAGTACAGTGAGGCTATAAAGGAAAGGTCCTCCCATAGCCAGGGGAATATAGTCTAAAAGAATTCCTAAAGGCTGATTTCAAATGATTTTTTTCTCCCAACTTTTTTATTTTTGGTAATGTTCAAATCTACAGAAAAATTACAAGAATAATACAATGAGCATCTATACACTCTTTGCTTAGATTTACATATAGTTAACATTTTGTACATATGCTTTCTCTTTGTCTCTAAAGATAGATATATACATATAAACACACACACACATACAGATATATACCATGGAGTCCTGGTGTGACTCTGTGGATTGACTGCTAGCCACAAGGTTAGCAGTTCAAACCCACCAGATACTCCTCAGAAACCCTATATAGGATTGCTGTGAGAATATAGAATATTCTCCTATAAAATGATAATGTAATTATTCACATCTGGGAAATTTAAAATGGATTCAGTATCATGAACTATGATATTGTCCATGTTCAAATTTCCCATTGTCCCAGTAATGTTCAGGATCCTGTCAAATATCAGGGCATTGCATTTAGTTTTCATAAATCTTTAGTCTCTTTATCTGAAAAAAATCCCTAATTGGTTTTCTGTGGTTTCATTTTGGCTATAGTTTTTTACATGGATATTTTTGAAAACGCCCATGCCAGTTGTTTTGCCTAAAGTCTCTCAATTTGGACTTGCATGGTTGCTTCTTCATTATTATTTTCAGGCTAAATATTTTGATATATATACTGCCAAAGTGCAGTTGTGCCCTTCTCAATGGATCACTTCAGGAAGGATGTGTTCTAGTTTAACCCATATTATTGTTGTTAAGTGCCATCGAGTCAATTCCAACCCACAGCAACCCTATATAGGGCTTCCAAGGAGCAACTGGTGAGCTTGAACCATCGACCTTGCAGTTCAAATGACAATGTGGTCTGACTCATTAGCCCACAGTGCCCAGGACTCTAACCCATATTAGTGAACACTTGGTAGCCCCCGATTTTCTTCACTGTAAACTTATTTTTACCTTTGAAATTCATTAGCAGGATGATACTTTAAGTACTTGTGGTTCACCAATAACCTTGTGCACAATTATTCTAACACCCATGTCTTTGATGGTTGCAAAATAAATCATGGCTTATGAAATAAAAGGAAATAGCTTTAAAAAAATGGGTAGAAGAGTAACATTCCAGTTACAAATACAAAATCTCTGAGTGGCAAAAATTACATTATGCTATTAGAGTTGCACATATTTGGTTAAGGCTAGATTATGTGGCACAGAATACAGGCCCATCAGACAGCTACATGAAAACCTTTGTATATTATACTAAATAAGAAATTTAGAGTGAAGGCATATAAAGTCATTGAAATGTTTTAAGCAAGTGAGTGACATCGTAATAAATAATATTCCTAGAACAACCCACTTGAAAATGGTGTAGAAGCTAGATTGGAAGAGGATGGGCAGGAGGCCCTAAAGCCAACTGTAACAGCCCAGGTGAAGAATTCTGGGGACCCAATCCAAAACGAAATTGTTTAGAGAAGATAAAACTGTTCCCTGTATGTTAAGGGAAGAAAGAGAAAAAACCTTGGTAACCTCACTCACAGTGGCTTGGGCAAATATGTGGGTGATGATACTGGTAATAGGAAGCTGGGGTAAATCTTGAAAGAAAGATGAAATCATGAATTAGGATGTAGCATAAAATCTACACCTAATGGTTTTAGATTCAAAGTACATTAAAGACAACAACTTAGTAACAATTGTTTAAACACATCCTATTGCTGAGGCTAGACCAGTCCTGTTCAAATGTGATGAGCTGAGAACTCTTGGAGTAAGGAACCTTAGGATCTTCAGACTGTTTGTTAGAAAGATCCAAGACAGTGGAAACCTTGCTTTATTTTTTGGTATCCTTTTCCTGTGCTGCTCCTAGGAGATATTACTTAACAGGCCTAAAATATCCTGAAGGGAATTCATAGACTCCCTTTTGAGTATAAACTCTAAAATCCTAGGCTGTGTAATCTTGGGCGGATCACTTTTCTAGGGCTCAGTTTCCTTACCTATAAAACTTATATGTTGACCTGCCCTGCCCCATGAGGTTTGTGTAGGAGTCAATTAAGTTAAAAGTAAAAGCAATTTATACACTATAAATTGTTGTAAACATGTCATTTATCATACAGTTTGAAAAGCTGTGGGCCTTTGCAACTGGAAATGAAAATAAACAGAATTCTGCTCAGTGAATTGATACATGGATAGAAACCTTAGCTTGTGGCTTTATCACATAACTGAGAACATTATTAATGTTCCTTGAAAAACTGAACACGCATTCCTCAAATAAGACTCTGTTTCTTCACTCCCCCAACATTCTTTGTCTTCATGCCAGCCAGGGTCCAACCTCTGCTCTGAGATCTGACCTATACCAACGTGGTATAAACTAGATCTTCCTCAAATTTCATGGATGTACCATGAGGGTGATCACAAGAATAGTGTTTAACTACCTCTGCCAAAGAAAGATTTTACTTACATCATACTGATATGTTTGTTTGTTTTTGTTCTCTCTTTCATGATTCTCTTGGTCCTTATCACAACTCATAGAGCTCTGAGTCAACATCCAACCATAAATGATGAACTTCCAAATCGCATAATTTCTGGCTTGGTGAAAGTGAAAGGAAATGTGACAAAATTCACAGAGACAGCCGCCATATTTGAAGATGGCTCCAGGGAAGATAACATTGATGCTGTGATTTTTGCCACAGGCTATAGTTTTTCTTTTCCTTTTCTTGATGATTCTGTGAAAGTGGTGAAAAACAAGATATCTCTGTATAAAAAGGTCTTCCCTCCTAACCTGGAAAAGCCAACTCTTGCAATCATAGGCTTGATCCAGGTCTTGGGAGCCATTATGCCCGTTTCAGAGCTCCAAGGTCGCTGGGCCACCCAAGTATTTAAAGGTGAGTGATTGTGCAAGTTGTCTACTGAATTATTTAGTGATGTGTTTAGTTCTGTTTATGTGCTTGCTTTTAAGTACCTAGAGACAGTATGTATAATTATAATTGCCTGACACAAAGTTAGTACTCAAAAATTAATTTGTGCTAAAGCTAAGGTAATCATGTATAACCACAGACATATACCACCTGGGAAATTGTTTCAAGGTAGACATGCTTTGACCTTATTTCTGGTGATGCTTATTTAGTAAGCCTGGAATGGAACCAGCCATAAGATCTTAAGAGAAAAAATTGCTCCTCAGAAATATGTCCCTCAATGTGCATTCCAGATTAAATTCCAGTGATCCAGATTTTTTTTAAAAATTTTTTTCTTGTGAATCAAGTGAAGGTTTGCAGAGCAGATCATCAGTCTTACGTTCACCTAATCATATACTTTATTGATCCAGATTTTATACAGAAGCTAGTTGCCACTAAGTAGAAGGATTAATGGTGACCCCATGAATGCCAAAGTAGAATTGTGTGCCATAGGATTCTCAGTGGCTGATTTTTTCAGAGGTAGATCTGAAAAATCTACTTTCTTATAAGGTATCTCTGGGTGGCTTCAAACTCTAGCCTTTTGGTTACAAGCTGAGATATTAACCATTTGTACCACCCAGGGATTCTTAGATTTTATTATACAAGTGATATATATTTATGAACCAAAAGTATTTTACCTTCTTTCATTGAAAATAGGAAAACTGAGATAAAGTGACTTAACAAAAATCAAGACTTACTTAGAGACTAGTCCAGAATGTAGAGGATAAAACCTCTCAAATTCTCACTTTTCTCTCATCTCTCATTCTCTCTCTCTCGCTCTTACTCTCTCTCTCTCTCTCTCTCTTTTTTTTTTTTTTTCCAGTTTTGGCTACTAGGAGTACATAAGAAAAAGAATTTGGGGTTTGGGGTGATAATCACAATAGGAGTCAGGAGTGTCTAGCATCATTACAAATTATACTCTCCTAGAACAATTGTCTTCTCTAAGTTGGTGAGACCACACCCAAAGACATATTTGAAAAGTAAAACTGGAGTGCATTAAAACGAGAGATCCAAATGGTTACAGAATTTGCAAACATGTTATTTTAAAGTACAATTGAAGGCTCTGAAGATGTTTTGCCTGAAGAAGATAAGAGTCAGGGGAGATATGAAAGTTCCTATCAAATACTTCAAGGGAGGTACCGCGAAAGAAAGATTGTTATTGTTAAGTGCTATCGAGTTGGTTCTGACTCATAGCAGCCCTGTATAGGGTTTCCAAGGAGCGACTGGAGGGTTTGAACTACTGACCCTGTGGTTCACAGCCCAGTGCTTATCTAACAGTGCCACACCAATGTTTTCGGTATACCTTGAAAGGGCAGAACCAGAATAAAGAAGTAAAATCATGTTGTTGTTAGGTGCCATCGAGTCGCTCCCGACTCATAGTGACCTTATACACAACAGAACGAAACCCTGCCCGGTCCTGGGCCAACCTCACTACTGTTGCCACACTTGAGTCCATTGATGCTGCCACTTGGCCAGTCCATCTCGCTGAGGGTCTTCCTCTTTTTCTCTGACCCTCCACCTTAGCAAACATGATATCCTTCTCCAGTGACTGGTCCCTCCTGACAACATGTCTGAAGTATGACAGACGAAGTTTGGCCATCCTGGCCTCCAAGGAACACTCTGGCTGCACTTTCAATATTCTCCTCCAACACCATAACTCAAAAGCATCAATTCTTCTACAGTCTTCCTTATTCACTGTCCAGTTACTGAAAATACCATGGCTTGAGTCAGGTGCACCTTAGTCTTCAAACTGAGGGATACAAAATACCAGTTCAGTATAAGAAAAGCCTCTTTTTCTATAAGCCAGTCCATGTCAAGATGTAATGGTCTGCCTCTGAAATTGTGAGGAATTCAAGCAGAATATGGAAAGGGTGTCAAATGTCTGGATGGCCATTTGGGTAGGAAATATGAATAGATTCAAGCCTCAAAATAGAAACCAGATGACCTTTAAGGTTCCTTCTAAGGAAGAAATTCTTTAATTGTATATTTGTTTTGTTTTTCAAAGTTTCTTACATTACTAATGATATCATTAAAACAATTCATAGTTTCTGTTGGAAGTATAGCCTCCCCTATCCTACTGAAGATCGTCATAGTAGCAGAGAAAAATGGAAAAGACAATAAAAGAATGATTTGAGTTGACAGATCAAAACCTTTCCAAATTTCTTACCATTTCTTCAGCCTATTTACCAGATCACGTACTCCTAAAGAGTACTGGACCACCAATTAAATGCAAACAACCCATTGTTGTTACTGAGTCGGTTCTGATTCATAGTGACCCTGTATAGGGTTTCCAAGGAGCAGTTAGTGAGCTTGAACCATCAACCTTGAGGTTCCAACTGACCTTGCAGTCCAGGGCTTATTTTACAACACCACACCAGGACTCCATATAGGATTTGTTGTTGTTAAATGCCTCATGTTGTTGTTGTTAAGTGCCGTCGAGTCGGTTCCTACCCATAGCGACCCTGTACACCCGAGGGTGTAAATCTTTACGGGAGTAGAAAGCCTCATCTTTCTCCCGCGGAGTCGCTGGTAGTTTTGAACCACTGACCTTAAGGTTCGCAGCCCTATTCGTAACCACCCTATATTGGGTTTCCAAGGAGCAGTTGGTGAGTTTGAACAGTCGACATAATGGTTCATAAGCTCCATTAGATTTACTTAATCCTCCTGGTGTGACACTGCAGGATAATGTGCTGGACCGCAAGGTCAGTTAGAACCACAAGGTCAGTAGTTCAAACTCAACAGCTGTTCCTCAGAAACCCTATACAGGGTTGCTATGAGGTAGAACTGACCCAAGGACACTTAACAACAATGTTACATGGATCTTTTAACTGGATCAATTAAGTAAAAGGCATTAAAATAGGCCTTGGCTTCTTGGTATACTTTAAACAACAGGGCCAAATGAACTGTTGAAAGGAACAGGAAAGTGAGTATTTGGAAGAGTCTGCAATACTGCTGGGGGATTAGCAGTTCCTAGGGGAAAATAGACCTAAACAAATGGCAAAGAGCCTAGCTTTCTCTACCAGCAGAAGCCTGGTATGGATTCTTCTACCTTTCTTCTAACAACACCTGGAAGAAAGTAAGCTTTAGAAGAATCTTCATAAATTGACCAAAATTCCAACAGAGATCCTGAATTTTTTATTCTATCCATGACCTTCTTGTCTACGTACAAATTCTTGCCTTTCTCATTCTTGAAGTCTACCTTTCTTGTGCCAAGTTTTAAACCCTTAGGATTAGCTTTGTTTCTCCCATTCTTTCATGGCTTTCCAACTCAGTCTGTCCTCTTCCCTGGCCTGGCCTGCCCCTCGCAAGGCCCAGATTACCTTCTTACACTCTTCCCCAGAACCATTGTTCTCTTGTCCAGAAAATACTCCACCCTTTTTTTTTTTAAGAACACAGAACATACCTAACTGAAATCTCATTTTCTTTTATCTTTGCCTCTTTTACAGTCCTCTCAAGAGCTTTGCAAATGTTCTACTTTCATTCAGCAACTTTTTTTCCTTAAAAACCACATCAAGTTATACTAACTCTCTGGGTCACAAGAATGCATTATGTTCAAGTTCCTCTGCAAATTGGCTACAGCTCAAACTTTCAGGCCTGTCTTTCCTGACTCTTGATTGTATATCCTGCAATCTCCTAGATGCGCTGGATGAATGCATCCACTCACCAGCAAATAAAGCACCTCTGTTCTTCACTTTTGCTTCTCACTGCTCGGTATGCCCTTCTTTTACTCATTGTTTGTATAAAGAAAGCCTATGTATATTCCCTCCCACCTTTGTAGTATATTACAGACTGGTAAATCAAGAAATAATCTCTATTTACATTTGTAATAGCACACTATTGTCCATTTTCCTAGGTACAAATCCATATAGTTGACTCAGACTCGTAACAATTTTATTATAGAACTTCCTTATAAATTCCTCAGGATTCCTGCGAAGCTAATCTTGAGGGTTGGACCGTCCTTATATTGGGTCTGTTCAACCAAATGCCAATTTAGTTTTGAGGTAAACTCTAAAATTAAATATATCTGAGGGTCTCAGCTTATAAGATAGGTTAGTTGATCTCCAGTTATGTTATAAGTTGTGGCTGAATCGCGAGAGTAGAATGATGATAGCTGCGGTTCTCTTCTCTTTTCACGTTAACTTTACACCTTACCTTCAGGGGCAAGTCAGGATTAGAGAAAATCAGGATATCCAACCTGCTTTAGACTGAGACTAGACTGAAAGTCCAACTATGATATAGTTGTAATTCAGGCTTTTCCTTCCTGTCTTGTCTTGGAACCTTTGGAAAACCTCTGAACTTCATCTCTTCACTAGTCTTCAGCTTATATTTATCAGCCTCTTAGTTTATGCCAGTGCCTGTGCAAGGTGCTAGAGACACAAATACGCCTAAAATGTAAATCCTTGTCTTTATGGAACGCAGAGTCTAACAAGGAGGACAGACAAGAAAACAGACATTTAATGTATTCATTCAATAATGATTTACTGTATTCTAAATAAGTGCTCTAAGGAGCTCTGGTAGCATAGTGGTTAAGAATCAGGCTGCTGATTTCACAGTCAGCAGTTTGAAACTACCAGCTGTTCCATGGGAGAAAGATGAGGCTTTCTGCTCCCATAAAGATTTACAGTCTCGGAAACCCTGTTGCTATGAGTCGGAACCACAGCATATAACAACAACATCAATAAACAAGTGCTCTAATAGTGATGAAGAGAAGGAGTGAGGAAGAAGCACTCAATTCTCTCTGGAGGAGCTGGAAAAGGTTCATTAAGCAACCCTCAACTACATCTTAAGGAATAAGTAGAAGTATGGGAAAGGAAGATGAAATGCTGACAGAGGACAGGGACAGAGAAGCAAACAATCAGTAATATTTATGCAAAGCTAGAGAAAAACAACTGAAGATATCAACTTCCAGGAGCCGTAAGTAATTTGCAATGCTGGACGTTATAAAAATGAGGGAAAATGAAGCTAGTGATGTGATATGGAGGCAAAATCAATACCATCCTTGGGGTGACATGTAAGAAATTTGCATGCAATAGAGTAGTTCTGATGGGTTGTAACTAGGAAACCAGAAGTCAAATCAGATTTGTGATTCAGAAGATATGTTCAAGGAGTAAAATGGGAAGTTATTCAGTGAAAAGCCTGTGGTAAAAGTTCACTAAAGACATGAGGGCATTAAAGATGATGAGTAGGCGACAGACTTCAATGAACTTCAGCTGGAAGTTTAGGAAGGATTTGGTGACAAAATATATGTTCAGGATGAAGAAAGACCAGAATCTGTTCAGATGCTGCTGCCATTGGTTTATACTGGAACTGCAAAGTGGGGGAGGAGTGCTGGTGGCGTAGTGGTTACAAGTCGGACTTGTAACTAACATAAAAATTTACAGCCTCAGAAACCCTATGCAGTGCCGACTCCATGGCACACTACCACCACCGCCATGAAGTGGGGAGCAAGATAGGACAGAGGGAGTTGAGAAATATGATAAATATTAATAATAATGTCTGCATAAGGAAGCACACAACAAAAACAGTGTTAATGTATCAAGAGAGCACTGTACCATGGGGTATTTTATGTATATACTTATGGTGTGGCACTGTAGGATAACTAGAGAAAATCCTATACAGGAACCCACTCCACAGCACTTAAAAATTATATGTATTAGGAATCCCGGTGTGGTGCGGTGGGCTAATGCGTCACACTACAAATTCATTTGAATTGCAAAGTCAGTGGTTCAAGTTTACCAGCTGCTCCTTGGAAAACCTATACAGGGTCACTATGGGTCGGAATCAACTCAACAGCACTTAACAACATTTTATATATATGTGTGTGTGTGTGTGTGTGTGTATGTATATATATACAGAGAGAGAGAGAGAGTCCTGGTGTGGCGCTGTGGGTTAATGTGCCAGACTGCAAAGCCATTTGAACTGCAAGGTCGGTAGTTCAAGCTCATCAGCTGCTCCTCGAAAACCCTATATAGGGTTGCTATGGTTCAGAACTGACTTGACAGCACTTAACAACAACAATGTATATATGTAAGTGCTGTGGAGTCGGTTCCTATATAGGATTTCTGAGGAAGAGCAGCTGATGGGTTTGAAGTTCCTACCTTGCAGTTGACAGCTCAGTGCTTATCCTACAGTGAACCACCATGACTATATTTATAGAATACCCTGTGATACAGGGCACACACACACACACAAATATATATACACATATGTATATATATGTATATATACATATATGTATATGTGTGTGTATATATACATATATATGTACACACACAAACATATACATGTATATTATATATATGTCTCTAGGTTTTGGGGGGTTGCTTTTTTTTTTGTGTGTGTGTGTGTGTATGTGTGTGTGTGAATTAGCTGACTCTCACAGTCTAGAACTATCTTCTCCATAATATTGCTAGTTAATAGAAGGTAGACTTATGGTTGTACTATGAGTAATAATTTTGAAAGCAGCTGATGATGGGAATGCTTAAAGGCACTATGGCAGTTTTAAAACGTTTCATGGGTAATCATGCATTAGGATTGGACCCTGTGGTTCATGATTATTGAAATAATAATAATAGTGTTTGTCATATATTCTCTGAGAGTTGAAACAAAGTTAGAACAATGCTAAAGATTTATTAGTCCATCATACGGTTCATGAATTGGACTGGGTGTTGCAGTTAAGATGAGGCTGTATGAAGTATCATAGTCCAAGGAACAAAGAAAGCCAACAAGTCCAAATGATTTTGATGAGTTTTTCAGATATTTATTAAAATGAATCTTGAAATCCAATCTTCCTCAGAATTGTGTTTGGCTAAGAAGACATATCTGGGGGAGAGGTTGGGTGTGGGAAGTGGAGGTGAGAGCCTATTGAACAGACTCTGAGATCACCAGACATTTGTTTGTCTGGAATGCAGGAGTTAAAGGGCAGGAATTGTTGATTACATATAAATCTATAGAAACAATCTGTTATTAGTTATAAAGTTAGATTACTTATTATTGTAAACTTTTGACCTGTGAAACAAGGTATCAGCCCTGTTCTTCCAGTTGGCCATAATCACTCTGTATTGTTTTCAGTTTCTACAGCCACTTATTCTAGCAACATTTACTCAAAGGGTGATGAGATCTCCCAATCCCCCATCACCAGAGAAGTGTAAGCAGGAGTGAAATATCCACTTGAATCGATTATTTGTGGATAAAAAGCTTGTATTAAAACCAAACTCATTGTCAGTGAGTTGATCCTATGCATAATGACTCTATACTGTTATTATTGTTAAGTGTTGTCAAGTTGGTTCTGACTCATTGCAACCCCTATAGGATTTCCAAGAAGCAGCTGGTGGATTTGAACTGCAAATCTTGTGGTTAGCAGTCCAGTGTTTATAGTACCAATAAGTTGTTGTTGTTAGGTGCCATTGAGTTGGTACCAACTCATACCAACCTTATGCACAGTAGAATGAAACACTGCCCGATCCTGGGCCAACCTCACTACTGTTGCCATGCTTGAGTCCACTGATGCTGCCACTTGGCCATTCCATCTCGTTGGGGGTCTTCCTCTATTTCTCTGACCCTCCACCTTCCCAAACATGATATCCTTCTCCAGAGACTGGTCCCTCCTGACAATATGTCTGAAGTATGAGAGATGATGTTGGGCCATCTTGGTCTTAAAGGAGCACTCTGGCTGCACTTCTTCCAAAACGGATCTGTTGGTTCTTTTGGCAGCCCATGGCACTTTCAATATTCTCCTTCAACACCATAACTCAAAAAAGTTGTGCAACAAGGTTGTATTCTATTTCAGCTTAGCATTATTTATGTAGACTTAAGCACTGTTTGACCTTTGTTTGACTGTGTCTTTGGTGTTATATGTCTAGTGCTAGACCTGTTTGTGTATCAGTGATTATCTGTCAAGATTGGGTATTATGAGTTTTCCTTGGCTTTAACTTCCACCCTCACCAAATAAGAAAAGTTTAGAAGGTGAAACTTATCTCCCACAGGACTTTAGGGATAAGATGTGATCAAGAGTTTACTTTTACTTCCTTCTCTCTATGCTGTAAAGCCTCTGTTATTTAGAGCACGAATGCAGACCTCTCTCCCCATCCCTTTGCCTTCTTTTTGTTACTCATTTTTCTTAAAAATATTCATGTACTTTTAAGGCCGTTTGTCATTACCACATGCTCAGTTTTTTACCCACTGGAAAGACTATATTAAGGTGGAGGAAGGTATTGGTTGGAAGACAGAGTAGGAGAAATACCTTTTAAAGCAAAGTAGAACAGTGAACTGTCACCTCCTTGAGAAAAAAAAAAAAAAAACTATTGTGTATTTCATTGAATTCTCCATGGTATGATCATTGTTAACAGACTCATTGTTCCCAAGGAGGTTAGTTCACCCTTAACATTTTAACTTTTCTCTTTAGGACTAAAGACACTGCCCTCGAAAAGTGAAATGATGGCAGAAATAGCTAAGGCCCAAGAGGCAATAGAAAAAAGGTAAGCAGTTCTCCCAGCAACAGAACATATGTAGTTAATTTTTCGACTTATCACTCAATAAGAGCACTGTGCTGCTGTTGTTGTTAGGTGTAGTTCAATCAGTTCTGATTCATAGTGATTACGTAAAACTGCCTGGTACCGCATCACCCTTACTTTAATTGTTGCTGTATTTAAGCCCATTGCTGCAGCCACTGTATCAATCCATCTCACTGAGGAGCCTTTACTATATTTAATTTCCTCTTGTTAGTTAAGCATTCAAGTTATATTTTGGAGGAAAATGAAAGCATTTGTGACACTATTATGGTGAAATAGCAACAGTATTAGTGTTTTGAATGTAGATGGAAATAAAAGAGAAATGCTAAGGAACTGTAAAACCCTATGGTTAGGGCCTAAAGGAAAAGGGAAGTAGTAGGAAACATACATGGAGAGAAAATTAGGTATATAATTTTGCTAGGATTACTTGGGAGTCCTGGTGTGGTGCTACAGGATAAGCACTGGACTGTTAACTGTCAGGTTGGTGGTTCAAATCCACTAGCTGCTCCTTGCAAACCCTATACAGAGTTGCTATGAGTCAGAACCAACCTGACTACACTTAACAACAACAACAGCAAGATGACTTGAAACACCAGTAAAGCTGCCAGAGAATGAGAGGCTGATAGGAAATTGATTGAAGGTAGATGTGGTACACTTACAAATCTGTTCTCATTGGCCACTTAGCAGGCTGTCATTAGGCCACAGCATGCTCAATCAACCACAGTGGCTCATGGAATGAAGAGTTCGGGAAAGGGATGATTCAGTCAGCTGATTATAGTTGTTGTTAAGTACTGTTGAGTCGATTCTGACCCATAGCGACCCTATATAGGGTTTCCAAGACGCAGCTGGTGAGCTTGAACCGCCGACCTTGCAGTTCAAACAGCTTTGTAGTCTGCTGCATTTACCCATAGCGCCACACCAAGGCTCTAGTCAGCTGCTTAATACTTAGTAAACACATTAATACAGCCATCTGAATTTCAGAACTTGAACTCAATCACTAGATTTTCATTTGCACAAAGTGGATGTTAATGGTGAAATCCTGGGGTTTTGTCGAAGAGTCAGAGGCACAATCACAACAGGCCCAAAGAGGCGGTTTTCTTCCATCAATTATACTGATAATCTCTCTACTATCTATAAGGGGAGGAGCTCTGGTAGCGTAGTGGTTACGAATCGGGCTGCGAACCTTAAGGCCAGCGGTTCGAAACTACCAGCTGCTCCACGGGAGAAAGATGAGGCTTTCTACTCCCGTAAAGATTTACACCCTCGGAAACCCTGTACTGGGTCACTATGGGTCGGAACCGACTCGACGGCACATAACAACAACAACAATCTATAAGGGGGATGAAGAAAGTTTTGGTTCAACCTTGTCACCTTTTCCAGGTCCTTTTCCATTTTCCTTTCATGGACAAACTTAAATTATATGCTTTGAATTCTCATCCTTTGTTGTCTCTCTGAATCCCCCAACAGTGTAATTTCCATCATTACTCCTAAAACTGCTCTTTTGAAGGACAGCCATAGTGAGCTTAATTTTCCTTCTTATTGCTGAATTTGGTACTTTACACATCTCTTCCTTCATAGAGCACTTTCTTTCCTTGAACTCAACCTTTCTACTCTCTTTCCTTGGATTTATTTTTGTGTAAGCTCCTTCTGACTGTAAGCAGCCCCCAAGAATACAATTAAACCTTATTGAGGGTCCATTATGTGCACATATTGCAATATGTTTTATAGGTTTGAGCCTCTTCAATCCTCACTACAACTCTACAAGGCAGGTTCGAGTGAACTTCTTATGAAACTTTCATAAACACTACAAGCTCTTTACCCTCCTGTTGTTGTTTGTTGTTAGGTGCCATCAAGTGGGTTCTGAATCAGGGATCCTATGCACAACAGAACGAAACACTGTCTGGTCCTGCCCCATCCTCCTATTTGTAGTTGTGTTTGATCCCACAGTTACTGCCATTGTGTCAGTCCATCTCATTGGGGTGGGGGAAGGTATTCCTCTGTTTTTTTTAAGCTCTAGTGTGTCACTGTAGCATAAAAAGCACTGGACGCTAACCACAAGGGCAGTGGTTCAAACCCACCTGTTCCTTGGAAACCTTATAGAGGGTTGCAGTGAGTTGGAGACAACTCGACAGCACTTAACAACAACAACAATTGTAAGATAAATATTGGAGTCCAGATGTTGAACCTTAGGATAAGCACTGGACTGCTAACCACAAGGTTGGTGATTCAAACCCTCTAGCCACTCCTCAGAAACCTGATACAGGATGGCTATGAATCAGCACCAACTTGATGGCACTAACAACAACAACATAGGATAAATAAATGCATGCATGCAGTTAAACTCTGGGTGTGGTTCTGTAGATGAGCACTGGACTTCAAAACCACAAGATCAGCAGTTCAAACCCACCTCAGAAACCCTACACAGAATCGCTATGAGTGGGAAGCTACTTGACGGTTGCGACTCATAGCAGAACATTCCCTTGACCCATTATGGCATCCATAAAGGAGAGCACTCACATTCTTGCTTGTCATACTTCCTCTTCTAAACTCGAATCCCATCTCAATAAACTCTTACCTGGCCATCTATCGCTTCTCTGGGGTTCCATCTTAACAATTTTGCCCTCAAATTTAATTTCTGTCATATTTTTTCTATCTTTGATTTTGGATTACTTTTGTAAATATATTCAATTGCAATTAACTTGACTTGGCTTTTCATTTCTTGCCTTTCTGTCCCACTATTTTCTCTTTTATTTTCATTATAAAGAGATAAATATGAAAGTCACCACTTAGCCCTCGAAATCCCACTCTCTAAGCACAGGTAATCACAGTCAACCACTTTTTTCCCTTAAAAAAGAAGTCTCGTAACTCTATAAATCTGCACTTGGCTCCATTTGGAGCGTTAGTCCCTCTTTTGAGATAATTCATCTTCCCTCCTCCTGCCAGGATTCCAAATTAACTTCAGCCCTGAGAAATCTACTCTGTAGAGATCTCACTGCACTGCCCTCATTAAAGAAAAAGAAAACAAGAATCCTGCACTTACAGTGATTGACTTAGATTGTTGAGGTTAGTTGTCAGTTTCTGATACCATCAGAGTCCTTTGTATCTGAATCTGACTATCTGTATTCATTCATACTTCCCACATATGCCTTCTTAACTGTAGATAGTGCCCACAAATAGTATTTGTTCGTATTGTAGTTATTAGTCTTAGAATAAAAACCATCCTAATAATCTTTAGAAGTGAGCATGGCAAGACTTCAACTCGCTCACTTTGGACACATCTCCAGGTAAGATCAATCAGTAGGAAAGGACATCATGGTTGGTAAAGCAGAAATGAGGAAATGGACTAGCACAATGCTGCAACAATGGGTTCACACATACCAGTGATCATGAAGGTGGTGCAGAAACAGACAGCATTCTGTACTGTGCTTCATAAAGTCACCATGAGTTGGAGCTAATTCAATGACTACTAGCATGACCAACACTTTTTCCTGCTTTACTCCTTCCCTCTGCTGTCCCCTGAATAATAATACTTTCCTCTTTGTTCTCAGAATATCTGTATTTTCCACATCCTTCAAGATCCCAGCTATTATACTTCTCTTTTAACTACCCCCCTCTCAACATTTCTATTTTCCAATCTAAAATTACCGAGAATCTTATATTACCCCCAATCCTTCATGTGTCTCAAGTATACCTTCTGTACTGGATTATAAATGTAGTGAAGCCAGAGACAGTATCCTATTTTCCCCCCTCTTATTTTCTTAGCCAATATTGAGCCAATAGCAAACACCCTGCAACCCCTGATTGATTGGGTGACTGATTTATGAAACCATTGATAATTCACTGCTTCTGTGTTCTCTGCTGTAGGTACGTGGAGAGTCAACGCCATACGATTCAGGGAGACTACATAGATACCATGGACGAGCTTGCTGATCTAGTGGGAGTCAGGCCCAATCTGCTGTCTTTCGCCTTCACTGATCCAAAATTGGCATTACGCTTATTATTGGGGCCCTGTACTCCAATCCATTATCGTCTGCAGGGCCCCGGAAAGTGGGAGGGAGCACGAAAAGCTATCCTTACTACAGATGATCGTATCAGAAAGCCGATGAAGACGAGAGTAGTTGAAAGGCATAGCTCTGTGACCTCAACAATGACAATGGTCAAGGTTATGCTGGCTGTTGCTGTCTTTGCTATAGTTATCACATGTTTTTAGCTGTCCCACTGCCATTGCTCTTGATTTCACTGGGAAGCTGGTTCTAGATACCTACAAAATCTGAAGATACTGGAAAAACTCTTAGATTTACATAGCTCAAAAGTTTACTTTTTTCTTTTTTCTTTCCATAGCGTTAATCCTCTTTCCATTTGCCCTGATGGTGAAATCCCATTGTTAATTCAAATCGATTCACCTCCCTTCCTCTCAAGACCCATCACCTTTTCCTTCCCATAATCCCCAGCCTGTGAGTTCAGGGGCTCTTTCAGTCATCCTTCATATCTTTAGCAAAGGTCTTCACTTATGGTAGGGGTTTAATAAATGTTTGTTGTTAATTATCCAGTAAATACTATAGTGGGGAACATAAATCAGCAGCTGCGTAAGAGCTGGCTGACTCTGTGGAACTCTGCTTCTGATGGATTTAGTTTCCTATTAGAAACTCATTTTCCTGTGCATTTTTAATATTGTAGCTAAATGTGTATCCTCTGAGAGATTAGAACTCATGATTGCATACAGTTGGCTAAATCTGAAGTATGACGTAGACTTCAGACACTGTTGCACTTCCTTTTCCCTGACCACCACCACAAATCCCTAATTGCCACGGAGTCAACTCTGACTCCTGGCAGCTGCATGTATGTGTTGTTGTTGTTAAGTGCCTTCAAGTCCATTCCGACTCATAGTGAGCCTGTACAAGGTTTCCAAAGAGCTGGTTGATGTGTTTGAACTGTGAGCCTTGTGGTTAGCAGTCCAGTGCTGTTCTTACAGCACCACACCAGGACTCCACATGGATATGTATCAGAATAAAACTACAGAAGGGGTTTCAAAAGCTGATTATTTGGAAGTACATCATCGGGCCTCTCTTCCAAAGTACTTCTAGGCAGAGTGGAACCTCTAACCTTTTAGTTGACAACTGAGCCTTTTAACCTTTGTACCACCCGGGGATTCCTGCATTCCCTACTGTACCTGATATTTTCCCTAAGCAACACATAACAATGTCCTTATTACTTAATGGAAAAAAAAAAATCTCCAACTTTCTTGGTTCACAGATCATCCTCATAATCTAGCTTCTGCCAATCAGCTCAACTTCATTGAGAAGCTTGGAATTTAAATGAGCTGTGCTATCTGTTTTTAATTCTTGGTTCCCATATTCAGGAACCAACAAGAGTTTACCTTAGGAATTATGCTATGTAGCTGCCAGCTCTTGTAGTGTGGCCTATCATTATGATTTTGATTTGCTTCCTCTCTCCCTTGCTTTTACAACCTCACCCGTTCCCCTGAATGAAATATAAGTAATGAAATATTCAAAGAGGTCACTTATGTATGTTTTTTTTAAAAAAAGGAAACAGGTCCAGATTGACAGATTTCTCTGAATGCATAGGAAATTTCACAGAGGGCAATAACCAACGTGGAGTATACCCAAGAACAGAAAAAAAAAATGACAAAGGGAATCAAGTGGAAATACAGTGATCATAAAATTGTGTAAACCTTCCTTGTGATCATGAACTTGCTCAATATTACCTTGTGCAAATAATTAAACTTTATACAAAGTACTACGGTTTTCACCCGTGTTTCTCCAAGAATATTATTCTAAACCTTTGTAGTTTTCCTGAGTAATTGCGATTCCTTTACGATGTAACTAACTTAGGGGTTTGTCAGACCACAAGGACTAGCAGGTAACCACAGAAAAGGTGCATAATTCAGTTATGCTAAAATTAGCCTAATGCTTAATCTTCTACTTTGTAATTCCTTTCTTTTCTACAACTTATACTTTATCTACAACTTCCTCTTCTGGTTTTCTGAAGTGATGTCTCCCTCTATACATAAAGATTAATTGCTTGAATAAACACTACATGCTTCAATTTCTTTGTACTTAGATTATTTCGACTTGTATTAAAGTTTATATTTAACTAAATGCTTATACCAGTTTTTATTATGTCATTCAGTGTAGTTCTAAAAAACAGAACAAAAAATTGAAATGGAAAGCAGAGACTTGGTTTTGTGCTAGGGGAAAGGCCCCAGATTCAAACATGTTCTATTGTTGTTGACTGTTGTCGAGTCGGTTCTGACCCATAGCGACTCTGTATAGGGTTTTGCAAGGAGTAGACGGTGAATTTGAACCACCATCCTTGCAGTTCAAACCGACTTCACAGTCCAATGCATTAATCCACAAAGCCAACCAGGACTCCAACATGTTCTGTTGTAATTATTGTAAAATTCAGTCAAGTAGGTTCTGACCCATAGTGATCCTATATAGGGTTTTTGAGAAACAGCTGGTGAGCTTGAACTTCCAATCTTGCAGTTAAAATCATCTTTGCAGCCCAGCACATTAACGACAATGCCATACCAGGACTCCACCATGTTCTATGTTGTTGTTAAGTGCCATTGAGTCAGTTCTGACCCATAGCGACCCTGTATAGAGTTTCCAAGGAGCTTGAACTGCCAACCTTGCAGTTCAAATGGCTTTAACATGTTCTATGTTGTTTTTGTGAAGTGCTGTCAAGTCAGCTCCAACCCATAGTGACCCTGTATAGGGTTTTCAAGGAGCAGCTGGTGAGCTTGAACGAACCACTGACCTTGCAGTTCAAACAGATTTGCAGTCTGGCGCATCAACCCACAGCACCACAACACATTCTATAAAGACCCTTTTATTAAGCCTTAAATAGAACAAAGATGAAACAATCATCTGGATGAGGGAAACCATGAGCATGAGGCCAACGGAGTACAGCAACTCACTAGAGGGTGATTATATATGATAGAAACCAAAGGAGATCATCATAAGATCATGACTGGTGGTAGGTCAGTTCATCACTGTCACAGACAGTGGGGAAAGAACCATCATTGGGAAATATACATAGTTGCAGGTTTTAAAAAGCACAGATTGAATCTGGAGGTTCTAGACTGGTCAGGATATGACTCATGATCATGTTGCCCTGAATTAGAGTCACCAAGACCCCAACATTTAAACTAGATAATCTGCAGCTATTTTAGGTAAATCATCAAGACCATGCCAAGGCAAGTTTCCTAGTTCTCTGAGTGAACCAGAGGGCAAACTACTTTTCCCCAAGCTTGTCCTATAATTCTTAATCTACAGTCATCAAAGGCAAACTGCTATTCCCACAGCAAGCCTGTATAGGGTTGCCAAGAAGCTACAGGTAAGTTTGAACCACCAAAATACAGAGTTTTAGAATCTCAGTTCTAATAATTTCCTCTGATCATGAATTTTATTTAAAATCCTTTGATCACATTTCAGTTGGTATGCTTCCTTCTGTACAGACTGGTTGATAGCTCTTTTAGATGGCTGCTTGTTTTAGGTCAAGCTTGTAAGTCCCCAGACACTGCCCTTTTTGATAGCTAGGCACCATCTAAC